TTACAGGCGATGTTGACGTTACACTTACAATGAAAAAAATATTTAATGACACAGTAATTAAACGCTTTCATTAATTATACTTCGTTGCCAAATACATTTTCTAGTTACAGCTTTAATTTCATCAACTATATTGCCGTTTTTGTTATACTAAATAAGAAATAGATATAATATTTTCTTATGATAAGTGGTAAACGTGGTACACCTCTGTTTTCAAGATTTTTTTACGAATTCAAAGTAGCAAGATGTAAAAAAAAGTAATTAATAAAGTTTCTGACAAATTCTTGCTTCAGATTTAGATTTTTAACAAATTTGGCAACTTGCCTACTTTGAAAGTTTAATGATAAAACGATAATTCTACATCTTTTTTAACATACTTTTAATATATATACATACACATAATGTCTTGCCACATAAATCAGTACAGTTGAATTATGTCACCGAGAAGTATTTAAGTGAAATAAGATATTGCTTATATTCAATGCTCTTGAATGGCTTGAATGAAAATTGTTCAAAATCTTATAAGCTGAACTTCGTGTTTAATAAACAATTAGAATACAAATATGTATTAAATATGTATATTAGTCAATCTAGCTTTCACAGTACAAGCTCTGCTTAGTTTGAAACTAGATGGCGTTGTGTGTCAGGTGTCCGAAAATGTACATATTCTTTTTTGTGACTGATTTTTTTAAATTACGTTTAATTATATTGTTACTCTACAATTATTTAGAATCAATCAAAATATATGTTGAAAATTTGACCGCCGTGGGATAGTCCTTTTAACAGAAGTCTTAGGAATTCATGTTGCGGGCCCCTTTGTATGTGTCCAAAGAAGGCCACCTTCCTTTTTGCTATAACAGCCATCAGTTCTCTCTTGCACTTGGCTCGCTCCAGCACCTCTACGTTGGATGTAAAACTAGTCCACGGTATTTTAAACATCTTCCGCTAAAACCACATCTCGATGGCTTGCAGTCGGTTATAGATGTCTTTCCTTAAGACCCACGTCTCACACCCATACAACAGTGTAGACCAAACGTAGCATTTCATGACGCGGAAAAATACCAGGCAGGAGGACACCAGGTCGACCACGAAGGAAGTGGCTAGATGACATCGTGGCCTGGATCGAACTGCGATATCGCCAACCAAAGGAGGACGCTCATGATCGAGAGGTGTACCGTCTGCTGACCTCCAAACTTCATTTTGAGGATGGCACTCCATGATGATGATGATGATGGAAGTCCATGAGATAGTCGTTTCAAAAGAATTTAGAATTTAAAGCGATATACACTGTTTTTTTCCTTTTGGCAAACCTTTAACCCATACATTCTGCACTTTATTTCTAGACGATTCGCAAAATATAAACAAAAAATATTCAGTGGTTTAGAAACAGTTCATTTTTTTGTTTTCATTGACCTCAGGCGGCGATCAGCTGTATACGCGGCGCGTCAACATCACACGTCACCAGGATGATGGACACGAGTTTTTAATTAGTTCATCCAGTAAGTACAGTCAGTCGGCCAGTCGCACAGATTAAGAGATATGTCCTTAGCCACCGCGAATCGCTGAGTATTATGCTGTTCTGTGTCCTTGTAGATGCGCTCACGACAAATTATCGTAATAGTAATATTGTTTTTGTTAGTGAAATATGTGTTTAAAAAAGTTTTGTTGTGTTAATTATTGTTTAGTCTTATTGCGTTCGTCATTAATTGTTCACACGGAAATGGTGTGAACAATTAATGTTGTCACGTGGGCAAGACTTCGTATTGTGACGAGTCCCGCTAAATTCATTTTGAAAAGTGAGAATATTAGTTTGTGTGTGTCGTGTAGTGTGTGTGAAACTGAGTGCATTATCAGTCTTTTAATTATATTGGGTTTTTGGTATTGACATCTTTAATGCCGCGAGTGACCTCCACAGCCTCGGAAAATCCTTACATGATGTTAATTTACAGGGAACTCTGCCAGAAGGCACCTTTTGCTTTACGGACAAACCGAGTTATGGATTCAATCGTGTACTACTCTGTCAAGAATGTACCGGGAAAAGATCAATAATACACAAAATGTTTGTTTTTAGCTAGTTAGCATGTCAAACTCGTAAACCCACGTCTCGTCACCAGTAACAATGCGTTTCCTGAATATTGTGTCGGAATTGACTCGTTCTAGCATGTCCTCAGCGACTCTCATGCGAGTGATTTTTTTTAGAAAATTCAAGTCTTTTGGGACTAGCCAAGCGGTAACATGTTTCACACCCAAATGATTAGTTAAAATGGTACGGATTGACTCATGAGATACAGAAAGTTCGGCGGCTATCTCTCGAAGTTGAATGAAGATTTTCAGGCACTATTTCCTTCACTTTTGCGATGTTAGCTTCAGTTGTAGACGTTGATGGCCTACCAGAGCGAGGCAAATCTTCCATCACATCTCGACCGCTTTTGAACGCTTTGTACCACTCATAAGCACGTGATTTTGATAAAGTCGATTCACCGTAAGCCTTCATTGACATTTTTAGTGACTCCGAACATGAAATTCCATTGGCGATGCAAAATTTAAGACAAACTCTTTGTTCAATGATTTTGTCCATTATGAAATTCGCAATACACACTAGATATGATATACCTAAAACCAGCACTGTATTTAATATAAATAACAGACGCAACTTAAAGTCCGCGCCAAAATGGAAAACAGTTGTACCAATCTAACAACAAAAAACAAAAATTTGAATTTGGAACCATAAACAAATCATCCATTCCCGATACTTTTTTGACTGAATGAATGTCTGCCAAATTTTTGTAAGGGCTACCTAATCTTTGTAAGATTACGGAACAACCAAAGTACCTACTTTTTCAAGGAGTGACACGTACTGCCGGGTAAAAGCTAGTCGAGCATTCTTGACATAAACAGGTAAATAAAATAGTATTTATAATAAATTGATTTTAAAAATAAAGTGATTAGTAGGTAGGTAATAAGAATGTAACGTTCGCCGGCTTGTCGCGGCGGCGGCGTCGCTTTCCTGCTGTCCGACATTGCGACACTTTCGTCTACGGTTCAGCGACTCATGATAACAATGGTGTTCTAATTCGGCAATTATATTATTGTATTTATTTTGTTCTAAATTTGCATTTCTGTATTTTCGTACTAATTTTTATTTTTTATTTTAACCGACCTATAGTGAACCGTGTTATCTGTTATTTTATTTTTTGTTATTACTCAGCACACCCGTTATAGCTGTAATAAATCTCTAGTCAGACGAATGCTATTCCAAAGGAAGAAGTCAAGGTAAATTCTAGCAATGTTGGAAGCTCGTAAAATTCATAGCTTACGAGTTAAACACAATAGAGGATATATAATGCTTCAGGAAAAACAACAGCAATTGTATGTAATTAAAATCTGTTACTTTATGGTCCATTCATTGGGCAACAGCTTGACTTTACTAAGTTCTTTTCATTGAAGTAATTTTTAATGGCGAGCAGAGGCACTTAAATTAAAAACTGCCAATATTTTATTTTTGTCTGTCTATTTGTCCGTTTGAATAGCTAATTTACAAAAAGGTTAAACTAATATCTTCAAGGTTTTATTGCCAAATAAATAGGATTCCATGTTTAAAATTTTAAGCATATGCACTCAGGTGACACCTAGGTAGACACAGCTAGTATTTTTAAAATATCAGAGGAAATATTTGTTTTTGTTTTCTTCATAAACTCCAAAAACTTACTGAACTGATATTTATAAGATCTTGACTTTTTGCAAATTCATACAGAAGTAACAAGGCCTTATTTTAGTTCAGTAAAAGCAAACGGGGAAAAAGCTAGTACCTGTTATTAGTTAATATTCAGAAAACAAGAATTCCATATACAAGCAGAAAGGGTTGAATGCTTATAAAAATATTCTTCAAAATGGGAACTAATTTTAATTGTACAATGTCTTTTACACAATTAAAAAAAAATAACCTCATGGGACATTCAATGTCATACAATAATGAATCAAACCCATGTGTACGCGTTATGATTTTATGAATCTGAAAGTAGATTAGGCCACACGTTGTCAACTTCCTCATAGATTTGGTGAACACCTGTGTTTACTAATATCGTGATAGCGCTACACTCATCCACGACTCATGTCTCAAATAGATAAATGTACAATGTCTGAATCATCAATGTGAGACCATAACACATTACATGGAACACTAGATAAAATACACAAAATGCATTTGAATTTGGTTTCATTCTAGTGTGCATTTAGAGATGGCCAATGGTTTTAGACTCAACGGAAAGTGTTGATAATACCCGAAAAATACGTTGTTTACGTACTTATTTTTGTAGGCATTGAAAACATATTTATTAAGTTATTAGAATGCTCTTATTTTATGGGGGTAAGATCTTTAGTAGGCTATGGAGTGAATAAATTGAAATATATTCACTCCACTACAGTTACTACGATCGTCAAAAATATCACCTGAGATCATACGAGTAGAGGACGGGAGTCAAATCTCGTCACATTTAACCAAGGGGTAAGGGGATTCAAAGTTAACCAAAATCACCTCACGTAATTAATGGATGCCTTGTAAGATCTTACCTTTTTTGGAATAGGTATTTATCGGTAACTATGGTTTGAGTACTGGAAATGGCCGAGAGTAGGTCACAAAATTGACAGCAAACAGGAAAAGGCAGGAAAACTCTGTATCGCCTACATCATGAGTTAGGTTTAGTTATCATACCAACATATACCTATAGCCTATTCACTAATCGCGTAACATAATACAAGTGTACAAATCTTTTTAGCATATCTAAGTACAAACCTTATAAAGATAATGGTTAAAAAAAAAAAAAGGTGTCATAAGCCAGCTGTCAAAATCCTGAAGAATATTAAAATTGTAATGATATTATTACTATGAATTCTGCTTAAGCTGCAAGTAGCTTAGGTTGTAATATTATTATGTTTTTGTTAACAAATTTAATATTTAAACTTTTATTTTTTATAGAATGGCTCCGGCAGAGCAAAACCTTGAAATGTGTGGCGAATCAATCAAAAACTTGAAAAGAACAGCCGACACTTGTGAAAAGAACAATGTGCCGTACGAGAATAACAACACTGTTATACAGAATAGTAAATGTGAAAAACTGACCACTGACAATGACTTTGATTTGGACAAGTATGAAAAAATGGTTTTTATACCGCAAATCAGATGGCCGGACCTCATTGTACAAATATTATTGCATTTAGTTTCAATTTATGGACTATATCTGGTTATTAGTAATCAAGTTAGAATTTACACAACGCTATTCGGTAAGTTCATGACTATCTTTTATACTTTTAGTTCATAATATAGCCACTGGCAACTGTGCAATAATTACTCGTGCCCTAGCAGATGCCTTAATTAGTGACTAAATTTTTTTTTAACACTTATCATACCTAAAATACAAGTATTTTATCTTAACTAACGTAATTAAAATAAAATATGTTATTGTCTATTCTGCGTTGATTAAAGTAACGCAATGCACGATTACTAAGTAAAAGTACTTATGGCGACACAACAAAATAAATTGTCATCAAGTAATTTATAGTTTACGGCAATGTTTGTAAGTTCTCTCTCAAAGTACCTACGCTACGTGACATGGTAGGTTTTAAATCGTTAGTGTTAACCAAATACAAAAAGGATATTTACCTATAATTTCGATATAGTCGCTTTATTACTTACTGTCTTATAATATAACAAGATTTGTTAAATGAAACCATATCGGGGCGAAAGTGGTCAAATTTAGTCTATATTGGAGCTATATATATGTATATTGAAGATATATTTATATTGGACTAAATTTAAGTGTATTCTGCTGATTAGAGAATTAGCAGAATAAACTACGAGGTACCTAAAACATGTAAATAAATTCCATTCGAATCAACTTATTTATTCTATAATAAAACTATCATAGCAACAAACAGGTTTATTAACGAGCCTTATAAATTTAATTAAGAAATTTCTATGAATCGGAAAATAGGGTATGAAATATAAACACACAGACTACTAGACAGAAAGACTTCAAACACTTGTTTAGCAAGTGTATTTTACCAATAGGTGCAATTCAATTCCATCTGTCATCCTGGCATAAGCAGGCCGGGATGGTAACGAGACGCGCTGAGACCACGCGCACCTTTGCCGGAGCACAAGGGGGACATGGGGTTCCCACACAGAAGGGAGCCTCGGGCCATCTACACGCCGTAGATGGCCCGGGTACCAGGAATTTCCTTTTTAGGGTACACCTGGTTCCACGGCAACTGGTACCCGAGGGGGTTTTTGGTCAGTTCGATTCCGCTTAACTGGGATGGACTGGGGATTACCGCAGAGGAAAAAAAAACGGTGAAATTCAATTGCGTTTATACCCAGTTTTGCCATAAATATTGTTACAAGAAAAAAACTTTTTTTTTTTTACATGTATATTAATTTATCCATTAATATAATAGCGTCAAAATATTTGAAGCTCAATCAAAATGCTCTCCATTGGTTTTAAAACTGTCCTTGTTAATAATTAGAACATGATTATATTCATATGGGCTCGATCGTTGACTAAGTGTATTCTTAAAACGGTAATAAAAAGTACCTAGTATTCGATTGGGCACAAACTAATAAATAAAAAGGGACACTTTTTTGGAATACGCACTACTCTACACTAATGTTCGAGTAGCACCAATGTTTGCCGGGATAGTTAAATGATAAAATGATATATGATATTTATTTCTGTAAGTCACTCACTTTGGGTGTCCTTGGATAATGCCGTCGGAATGAAGACCGCAAAATTATTGTGTGCTCGTATTTTTCGGACCGTTTTCAGAGTCGCAACCTTTAATTTATTTGTATTGTTGATTGTAGTGGTGTTTAGAGAATGCCATGCTCTCTAAATCTGACCATAAATCATAACACATCGGATTAAGATCGTTACTAGATGACGGACAGTCTTCAGCTCTGACGAAGTCAGAAACGTTTGCTTCCAACCACGTTTGGGTGGATCGAGTTTCATGACTCAGTCCTGGATCTTACTGTAAGGACCACTCTTGGTTACGGAACATGTTGTTGTTAAGAGGTTTAACCTACTTCTCAAGAATCGTATCTTGATACACTATAAAGCTTTCAGCATGAACTCTTTTATTCTGCTTGTTAAAATTTTATAAGTAAATATAATATTCGTCACTCAATAAAAAAAATCTGTGACCTTTGCGTACTCCTTAAGAATTTGTTTTCATTTTCCCTCAAGTGGCAAAGACACACCTACATAAATACGAAAAACTTTATTCCGTCACTCACAAATACGAATTTCAAAATACCGATTTTCAGAATGTCGAATGATCCAAAATTCATAATATAAGAACTCCGATTTATCATTCATCCTATTTTTATGATTCAAAAATTTCAATATTGCTAACGTTTTAAATCATTACTCCTACGTCCTAAATAATTACTGGCCACTAAAAACCTAGTTTCAATAGATCGAATCACAAAAAGTCCGTCTTAATGATAATTCGAAACATCAAAACATTCAAACATCTTTCGAATAAAAATATTTTCTTTCAAAGTCAAAGTTCTAACGTAACTTAACGCAAATGATTCACCAACAATAGAGAGGATCTGGCGCTCACTCGCCTTGGAGCTTTAATGGCACAGTTCTAACCTAAAAATCCCCTCGAACCGTCACCCCGCCGGGGCTCTCGTTCGGCAGGGCGGTGTGTCGGACTCGAACCGACTAAAACCACACGGTGTGCCCTCTTTGCGCTTCCGGTTTAGGAGGGGTCCAGATAGTTATCGCCTTCTGGACCCCTCCCAGCGCCGGCCCGCTCCTGTTGCGGGCTCCGTCTCGGATAATCCTCTCTTTAGGCGACGTCCGGCACACGCGGACGCCGCCCCCTAGCGGCTGGCCAACTAATGCGGGTGGAGGGGAGAACCCATCCCGTCCACCCGCGGCCACACTCAGGGCGGCATGAGGCGCAGGTGAGCGCGCCTCCGCCGCCCGGTTCGCCGGCGGCGGATCAGGTCCGAGTGGAGGTCGTCCTCCCGGGCCTTCTTCTGCGAGATTACCTCCTCGCAGAAGGTTGCGACCGCGGTAAAACAACTGTCGCTACCGGCCATGGAGCGAATTACGGCCGGTAGCGAGAGATCTGCTCCTATGACTGCAGTGAGGGCCCGGCGCTGCGTCGCCCATGCGGGGCAAACCGTCAGCGTGTGCTGGGCCGAATCCTCACTGCAGTCGCAGTGGTGGCAGGCGGGACTCGATTCCCTCCTAGCGACCGAGTATAGGTACTTTCCGAAGCAACCGTGCCCGGAACGCACCTGCGTCAGCCGGAAGGTAAGGGTCCCGTGCTGCCGCCCTGCCCACTCGGCGATGACCGGCTGGAGGGCCTCCACGGCGGTGAAGCCAGCGCGTGGAGGCCAGAGGCCAGAGGCCAGACCCAGGTACCTCATCTGGGCCCGGACCGGTACGAGGACCGAGCCGACCTCGATTGAGGCGCCGGCGGGTTGACCACGACGGGGCCTATGAAATAATAGGGCCTCCGTCTTATCCAGGGCCACCCGTAATCCCAACACCTCAATGCGCCCGACCACCTGGGAAACTCCCGTGGCGGCCAGGCGCGCCGCCTCCTGGAAGTTAGCCCCCCGGGCGGTGAGTAAGGTGTCATCCGCGTAGCAGATTACACCCAGCCCGGGGGGGAGACGCCCTCGTAGGGCCCAGGAGCTCACCACAGGAGAGGTCCTAGGACAGACCCCTGCGGAACACCGCACGACATGGCCCTGCGTCTCAAGACGCCGTCTCGGTCCTCGTACATGACGGTTCGCTCCTCAAGATAGTCTGCCACCAGCCGCCTCAGGTACTCCGGCACTCCGTGGTAGCGGAGCGCTTCCCTGATGCAGCTGAATGGCAGACTATTGAAGGCATTGGCGGTGTCCCCACTCACACAGCCTCCTCGGTCACGGCCCTAAGGCGCATTACGGCATCGATCGTCGAACGCCCCTCTCGGAAACCGAATTGGGCGTCCGACAGATCGGGGCCAACCTCGCAAAGGTGTCGGGCGATGCGGGCAGAGAGTACCCTCTCAAAAAGTTTACCCGCCTCGTCCAGCAACACGATAGGTAACACATTAGTAACTAAAGCAATAAAATATTTCATTCAATTGTTCGTTTAATCACAGTAATTTACAATATGTTTACTGTAACATACGTAGTATAAAATAAAGTTAAAACGAAATTAAAGTTTTCATCATTTACAATATTAAATATTGTATTTTTTTATTATTTGATAATTCAGTAAAACCCACTCTGTTGTTTAAAAGTTGTCGGCAACGATTTTTTATTGAATTTATAAGATGGTTTATCTAATACTGCGGCACTCGCTCCCAATGGAAATTTAACAAGTCTTTCAGTTGTTGGTTGGTCGATACTACGTCCAGGTTCTCTAGAACACTTCCCTGGAGCATGTCCCATGCGTGCTCGATGGCGTTTGTGCATGCCACGGCAATAGGTGGATGTTTTCCATTGCCAAGTATTCTCTGGTCCTCCAAGTTGTGTGCAAATGCGCATTGTTAGACATCAGTGTGAAATCTGAGCCTAGACTTTGTGCCAATGGGTGAACATTAGGCTCGAAGACATCTTGAACGTAAGATTCAGCATTCATACTGCCATCTATAAAAATGAGCTCAGTTTGTCTGTTCTTCATATTACCCGCCCATACCATCACTGTCAAGCTACTGGGGTGCACTTTCTGGACGCATCTCAGCCGTTCAGCATTTCCGGGACGACGATACACTCTTACCCTTGTCGTATCAGGCCTAAACCCAAACCGGGACTCATCACAAAATAAAATTATATCCCATTGTTCCAGAATGGTGTAGAGAACACTTGACATGGACTGTCCGGTGTTCTCTACACCATTCATTTCGACTGGCGCGATTCCCACGGCGTATAAGTTGGCACCTAATTGGGTGCCGTGCTCGTAGGCCGTATTCGTGCAGCTTATTTCTCTTAAGTTTTGAGTAGGTATTCTATTCGTATCATTACTCAAAACGTAAAAATATTATATTAAACTGCCAACATTTCCCTATTCTTCGTTCGTTCGTTCGTATCCGTCACCACACGGCTTTGAATTCTCAGACTTTAGTTTTATAAATACGAGTATATGTATAGAATCTTCTTTTATTTCAGCGATAGGAACAATATATACATCGGGTTTCGGCATCACGGCGGGGGTGCACAGACTGTGGTCACACCGAGCTTATCGTGCTCGTTTACCGCTACGAATTATATTGGCTCTACTCTTCACTATCACAGGACAGGTGAGGCACATATCACTTTTTAATGTACCATTAACTGACAAATACGAAATTAACTCTCCTAAAAGACGCGGTTTTCCAGTATGTAAACAACAGAAATTATATAACGCGTGTCGAAGATAACGTACCTAAGTACTTACTCTTAACATCCTTCAAGTATTTTAAGTTATTTTAAATCATCATCATAATATAAAAACAAATGAGCTTAGAATTAAGTTATAATATTGTTATACATAAATAAGGACTGCTGATATTCATTCACAACTACATGTACACGCTGTATTAAATAGGTAACGCCTATGTAGTACAGGGTGTAATGCATTTATTATTATTTTTTATTAAAAATACATACTTTCTGTATCGATATTTAACATAGCGTGTTACGTTCGTAAGCACGCCGTGCCATTTGACTTAAAAGGCTGACCTACATTACAAACTCACGAAAAAAAAATACTGATAGGTACAAACAATAGGTACAAACGTTATCAAAAACAAGATTAGCATTTTAAAACATCTTTCATATTTAATAGAAAAAATATTTAAAGAAAAATTGACAGCTTCAAAATTGTTCAGACTGTTTAACTCTGAACTTCATTAGGTAGTCCGTCGACGGCGACAGTCACTTGCCATTAGTGACCCGTTTGCACCCTAAATCAAACAAAAACCATCATGCAATGTGCTATCGCCAAAGAGAACATAATGGTAAAAAGTTAATTATTGAAAAGAAACCCGACTCCGTAAAAATTTAAAAAAATACCTTGACTATAACCTAAACTGAAAATAATCTAAACACTTGATTATTATTGTGAAATACAATCGCCAGTCGATTTTTTTAAAATGTTTTAATTATATGTGTTCTATTATGCATGTATATTATATATGCGGGAAAAATGCATCATAGAACTCATATAATTTGTATGACATGAAACCCTTTAGTTTGATCTCCCACTCGACCAGGTTTGAAAAAAAAGGTTGAATATCCTCGCCAAAACCTCGCCACCTTAATTATTATTACTGAAACTGCTTATGACCGGCACGTTCAATTAGATTATTTAATTCGAGCGAAACACTCCCCACGAGGACAGTGTATCAAATGTGTTTTATGTGTTCATAAACTAATTTATAACAATACTTTACAATTTAATATTTCAACAATGTCTTGATTTGCTTATGTGTACGTAGACCAATGCTAAATCAAAACGTCGAGTTAAATAGTTAATTAGATTAGAACTATTTTGCATCTCAAATCATTGTGATTTTTTGATATGTTGATATGTATATATACTATATGTATATTACTCAGAAAAATACTGAAAAAATCCTAGTCAACTGAAAAAATCCTAGTCAACTGAAAAAGTCGGAAAACTATGGGAGTTGGAACGGCTGGTATGAAAATGCCTTATTATCGCTGATTTGTACGGAACGGGTATAAAATCAAGTAAACAAAATATATATTTATGAAGTTATATTTTTTAATCTAACAAAGTACAGAGTTTTTTAATCTAATAAAGTACATACTATCATACTTAGAGCTGAGAAAAAGTAGGCCCTAAGTATGTAATTCATCATTTATCATAAGGATCAAACCACATATACGAGTACGTAACCAAGTCTCGTAGCGCCGACCCATAGTTCGCATCCCCACCTTATGGGCTTCCCACGTATGAACTACTGCTTGCAACTATGGCCCTAATAATACAGTCTCATTGCCTCGTCGATGCTAAAGATTTTTTCTAAAGGTGGCAGCTAAATATGAATTATTCAACAAATCGAATACTGGGCGCAATTTCGAAAACTTATCATCACTTCTGTATTGTCGCAGAAGTGAATATGCGATATTATAAAGCTAAATTGATCTCGTGACATGGCGTTATAAATGAGGGCAATTTGAGTATCGGCTGGTTTTTTCTAGTTCATGGACCTTTGAAGCACCACGGCACATCCGCTACATAAAAGAATACCAAAGAAGCACTTCATTTCATTGACTGTAACAGTGCCTGGATTGTTATTTTTGGCGGCTACAAGTTTGTATAGTGCACAAGCAGTTGAATAACGTTATCGTCAAACATAATCAAAACAATAAACTTATTTTGCATAGATTCTACAGTACGCCTTCTTTTGCCGAGACGAGATAGGTGAATGTCATATCTCCATCACCCAGATCCGTTTCTGGAAGTAGGTACTCATTTTGATAGTAAACACCCACTTCATTTGTACTAATGAAATACGTGCAAAAAGACTTATTTTAAACTATCTATTTAATCGACCTCACGTCTTTGTTATTAACATCATTCCATGCAATCATTGTATTACGGGTACCTACGTCACTAATGAAACCATAAAATTCTATGACTGTTCTATTATATTATGTACTAGTTTATTACTTATAATAATAATAGTTTTTATGACTTACATTATGCTTTTTATGTATTCATCTAACTTTACTTTATAGTTTTAGATGTAGTACGTTATTAAATCTATACCTAGAATTAACTATTAAACCCGACATTGTGAGTAAGCATTTATCTTATTATTTTCATATACAAATGAAAACATTGTTGAAATATTGCATTGTAAAGCCTTGTTATAAATTAGTTTAGAAGCACTTTTTGTATGCCGACCTCGTGAAAGTCTTGCGGTCGAATTAATTAATATAAATGAACGTTTCGGTAATGTGTCGTTTTGAAAAATATTCACATTTACCAAAAATCTTTAAATTTTGAACTAAGTATCCACGTGTTTACGGAACTAAAATCTTAATTACTCAACTTTTTTGTCAGGTAGGAACTCAATTTTCAAAGATTTTCTTTGTTTCATGGTAGGTAGTCACATATAAAGTTAAAGACTATCTTCTCTTCTCTCCAGAAGATGTCTTCTCCCCACATCTATTTGTCAAGATATGTACTGTTTATGTACACTTACAAGCTTACATTGTACATACAGCCTAATAATAAACCGGTAAACAACAATTTAGAATACCGCTTTTAAGCTGAAGGACGCACAGTTTTAGGTTTTTAGTCAATCTAATGTTGTCGCATATGGAACAATGCCTACTGTAGCTCTGTCATTAAATAGCACAGTTTCGATTAATCAATTGCTTATTCACAATTGAGCACAGTTATTGGTTACTGTAGAATTGGTCGGAATAAGTTTCTAGGCGATTTTAAGAACCAATTTTTACATTATTTTAATCTCTAGAAAGGTTCCGTCACCATAGCTGTTACGAAGGTCTGTGTTTATCATAATATAGTATGATTATAAAGAGAAAGTAAATAATCGACAAAATATCCGAAATGGCAATGAATATAAATCCATACATATTAAAATAACTTACCCTGATTGACTGACTAATTCATTGGTCACTGGCCCATTCGCCTCCTGGACCTTGCCTCTTCTAATAATTTAAAAGTGGAATAGTCCGCTCCTAAATCAAAACATTGAGATGGCTCTTATTTGTCTGTATATTGTTTTCAATGATGAACTCACTACATATAAAATAGATCAAAAGTTTTTAGTGAGTGGTCATTTTTACGAGACTTACTCAAGATTTTGGCCTACTGGCAAAATAAAAAGGTTTTTTTTAATTTATTACTTTAACCGTCGATTTTAACCACCATCAAAGTGAGAAAATTCAAATTAGTTTCTATAAGTCACCAACAATAGATGGGTCTAATAGATCTGGCCTTTAATGGTCACAGATCTAACCTTTTTTTTTTTTTACGTGTGGAAATCCCCTCCGACCGTCACCCCGCCGGGGCTCTCGTTCGGCGGGGCGGTGTGTTGGACTCGAACCGACTAAAACCACACGGTGTGCCCTCTTTGCGCTTCCAGTTTAGGAGGGGTCCAGGTAGTTATCGCCTTCTGGACCCCTCCCAGCGCTGGCCCGCTCCTGTTGCGGGCTCCGTCTCAAAATGTTTCCTCTCTTTAGGCGACGTCCGGCACACGCGGACGCCGCCCCCTCGCGGCTGGCCAAACTAATGCGGGTGGAGGGGAGAACCCATCCCGTCCACCCGCGGCCACACTCAGGGCGGCATGAGGCGCAGATGAGCGCGCCCCGGATCGGGTCCGAGTGGAGGCCGTCCTCCCGGGCCTTCTCCGCCGCCTCCTTCTGCGAGATTACTTCCTCGCAGAAGGTTGCGACCGCGGTAAAACAACTGTCGCTACCGGCCATGGAGCGAATTACGGCCGGTAGCGAGAGATCTGCTCCGATGACTGCAGTGAGGGCCCGGCGCTGCGTCGCCCATGCGGGGCAAACCGCCAGCGTGTGCCCGGAAGTCAGCCACTCGCCGATAAACTTCGGTGAGCACTTCCGCCTCCAAATCGCACGGGGGTGTTCCGGCCAAGGCGCAAGCCGCCTCGGTGGACACCGTGCGGTATCCGCGTATGGCTCTGACCGCCAATATCCTCTGGGGCCGCCAGAGGCGCGCCCTGTTCGGGGTGGTCAGAGCCGCCACCCACACCGGTGCACCATACAGCGCCATGGACCAAACAACCCCCGCGTACAGCCGCCTCGTGGGAACACTGGCCCCGCCCAAATTGGGCAAAAGTCGCCCTAGGGCGGAGGCAGTGTCCACCAACTTCGGACCAAGCTGTCGGAAGTGCTCGTCGAAGAGCCACCTACCGTCTAGGACCAGACCCAGGTACCTCATCTGGGTCCGGACCGGTACGAGGACCAAGCCGACCTCGATTGAGGCGCCGGCGGGTGGACCACGATGGGGCCCATGAAATAATAGGGCCTCCGTCTTATCCAGGGCCACCCGCAAACCCAACGCCTCAATGACCTGGTGGTCCGACCAGGGAAACTCCCGTGGCGGCCAGGGCCCGCCGCCTCCTGGAAGTTAGTCCCCCGGGCTGTGACTAAAGTGTCATCTGCGTAGCAGAGTACACCCAGCCCGAGGGGGAGAGACACCCTCGTAGGGCCCAGTCGTATCCAATGTTCCACAGGAGTGGTCCTAGGACAGACCCCTGCGGAACACCGCACGAAATGGCCCTGCGTCTCAAGA